ACCTTCTCTGGCCGTCGTGAGCTCTATGCCAACTCATTTGGAGGGATCCGAAAAACCTGCACAGAATTCTAAGGTAAAAGCTACTAAGAAGTCAGTAAAGAGTGCAGATAGGCACGCCACCAGGAGACACCAAGCCCTGGAAAGAGAGTTTTCTAGGGCACAAAAAATAGCCCGTCTGGACACTTCTCATATGGGGGGGGCGGGGGCAGGAGTCTCTAGTTCCAGCTACTCTATCGCCTCAACGTATACACTGTGGCTGGGCTTCGCCAGACCGAACAGCCTTCTTTCCCATCAGAGGAGCAATTGTCCATGTTGATAGCTCAAGCTGTGGACCGCGCTTTAAACGCTAGAGCAGTTCCTAAACCTCCAGTCATAATTCCCCCTCCTATCTGTCAACAGTCAGAAGAGCCCCAATCCGGCCCTTCCTCTCCGGCTGAATCCTGTTATTCTGAGGGTTTGTCGCTACCTGGTCAGGGCTCTGACCAGGAATTTCCGATGTCTGAGGAGGAGGAACAGTCGGCGGACGCTCCAGCGCCCACTGGAATGTTTCACTCTTCGGCATTTGTTACTTTGCTCCGCAAGGTCTCTTCCACCACACACCGTGGTTCTGAACCTCCTTCCACAGCGACTACTGTTGCTCCCGATTCGGATTTTGATCCAAATTTCATTGAACCGGTGACAGCTCAGCATCGGATCCCATGTCCGCCCATGTTTATAACTGCGGTAAAGAAACAATGGGCACTGCCAGCCTCCTTTCCCCTTCCGAGTGCCACGGACAAAAAGTTGTTCAACGTGGCCAAGGAGTTGGAGGAAGCGTTGGAGGTCCCTGCGGTGAACGAGCCTTTTGGACCACAGGCTACCGCTTGGGCCATTAGGGCAACGACCTCAGCGTCGTTTTTCACTAGAACAGCCCACCGTTGGCTAAAACAACTACAGGCCCGCACCCCCAAGGATGATGTCCGCTCTCAACAGGACATCAGTAAGATGGTGGCGGCAATGGAGTACGCCTCAGATGCTACGCTCCAGGCGACTAAGTTCGCTTCCAGGGCCATGGCTTCAGGGATCACCAGTCGACGCATGCTTTGGCTTAAGCATTGGCATGCTGATGCCAAACCCAAGTGGCGTCTGTCCTCTGCCCCGTACCAGGGAGGTAAATTATTCGGTGAGGCTTTGACTCCTTATCTCTCAGAGAATAGGGATAAGCGCAAAGTCCTCAACCATATTATTAAGAAGGCTGACAAGAGGCAAAATTATTTCCCCCGTAGGCAGTCTTTTCGGGGGGGGAATAGATATAATTATTCTAACTCTTTTCGTCCTTTCCCTCCCAGACCGGACCGTCAAGAGGGGTCATTTGACAGACAGGCGAGCAAGCCCAGGCAGCAATACCAGGGTAACCAGGGTAAGCGGCCCTTTCGAGGGAGCGGCCGGCCATTTCGTCGCTCCAGGTGACTCCCCGGAAACGGGGCCTTCCATAGGGGGCAAACTATCGCTGTTCTTCCACCAATGGGAGGTCACCACCACGGACAAGTAGGTTCTGAACACGATAAGGGCCGGTGTCCACCTGGAGTTCATCTCCACACCTGTAAACAGGTTCATTTCTTGCCCATTCCCCCGAAACCTAGCCAAAAGAGATCTGATGGGCCAGGCCATCCAGCATCTGCTGGAGATAAGGGCCGTAGAAACCGTTCCGGTGGACCAGAGAGGGCGGGGATTTTACTCCATCCTCTTCGTCGTTCCAAAACCGTCAGGGGGATG